TATTAAATGTTCAATTAAATTCGAATTATTGGTACTTTATTAATTTGTCCATCATTTTTTAATGAGCTTATTGAAACATGATGTTGCCAAAGTGACCTCTCTTGTGTAGATAGTTCATGAAGAATGTTGGATGTTGTGTGTGTGTGAGTTCATGCGTGTATTGATCGGCCCAAAGGAAAATTAATACTTGGCCGAACTGCATACACACTTGTGATGGTAAACATGTAACAATTATAAGGAATTATATGTGAGTAATAAATCGATCCAAAGATAGATTTATTATTTGACATGCATTATTGCTAATGTTTGATCATTACAACAAGATTACCACTTGCAGTTAATATTACTGTCCAAAGACTTGATATTAATGTTGCATTAGGTGTCTTGAGATGGGATTTATCATTATTTGAATTTTTTTTTATTTTTTTTTTTATTATTTTATGAACATGTTATTTATGTAATCATTTTGTTCATTTTTCAGTTGTTGCTACTGTATCTGCTAATCTCAATTCAGTTCCAATCCTTAAGGGTGACAGCTTTAAGGATTGGAAAGAGAACATTCACATTGTTCTTGGCTGCATGGATTTAGACCTTGCATTAAGAATGGAAAAACCCGCTCCTCTTACGGATGCTAGTTCCTCCGAGGATAGGAGGATCTATGAGAAGTGGGATCGTTCTAATCGCTTGAGTCTTATGATCATTAAGCGCGGCATACCTGAGGCTTTTAGAGGTGCGGTGTCTAGTGAGATCACTGATGCTGCAAGTTTCCTTGCTGAAATAGAGAAAGGGGCACTAAAAGAAAGAATGAGGCTGCTAAAAATAAGGGTCCTTCTTAAAAGAAACAAAATAAAGTTCAATCTCAAAATCCTGAAAATGGAGGTTGTTTCTTTTGCAATAAGGAAGGACATCAGAAGAAGGAATGTCCAAAATATCACACTTGGCGTGCGAAGAAAGGTACATTTCTATCTTTGGTCTGTTCTGAGGTAAATTTGGCTTCAGTACCAAGAAACACGTGGTGGTTAGACTCTGGTGCTACTACTAATATAAGTGTTTCAATGCAGGGTTGCCTGAGCTACCGAAAACCAAATGATGCTGAAAGATGCATTTATGTAGGAGATGGAAAATCGGTAGAAGTGGAAGCAATTGGGCATTTCAGATTGTTATTAAGGACTGGTTACTATTTGGATTTGATAGATACTTTTGTTGTACCGTCATTTAGACGGAATTTGGTTTCTGTTTCTTGTTTGGACAAATTGGGTTATTGTTGTTCATTTCAAAACAGTTGTTTCAGTTTATCTATTGATTCCAATATTATTGGAACTGGTTCGCTTATGGTTTATGACAATCTTTATTTGCTTGATACTGTTGCTTCTTATAATGAAACTCTGAATGTGGAATCACGTGGTACTAAGCGTAAAATTGAAAATGAAAATTCAGGAGCATTATGGCACAAGCGTTTAGGTCACATCTCTAGAAATAGAGTTGAAAGACTTGTATCAGATGGAATTCTAAGTTCCATTGATTTTACGGACTTTAATGTTTGTATTGACTGCATTAAAGGAAAACAGACCAAAATAAAGAAATTAGGAGCATATAGAACTACAGGCGTCTTAGAATTGATACATACGGATATTTGTGGGTCATTTTCTATACCTTCTTGGAATGGTCAACAATACTTTGTATCATTCATAGATGATTATTCAAGATATGCATACCTATTTCTTATTCATGAGAAGTCCCAAGTATTGGATGTGTTCAAATCTTATAAGGCTGAAGTTGAAAACCAACTAAGCAAAACAATAAAGCAAGTCAAATCTGATCGTGGTGGTGAATATTATGGCAGATATGACGGTTCAGGTGAACAACGTCCGGGACCATTTGCCAGATTCCTAGAGGAGTGTGGAATTGTCCCTCAGTACACAATGCCGGGGTCACCTAGCATGAATGGTGTAGCTGAAAGACGAAATCGCACTCTTAAAGACATGGTAAGAAGTATGATCAGTCATTCAACCTTACCAGAATCACTCTGGGGAGAAGCACTTAAGACAGCGGCCTACATTTTAAATAGAGTACCAACTAAAGCAGCTGCAAAAACACCTTATGAGCTTTGGACAAGACGAAAACCTAGTTTAAAGCATTTTCATGTTTGGGGTTGCCCAGCTGAGGCAAGGCCTTACAAGCCACATGAGAAAAAGCTAGACCCTAAAACAGTGAGCAGCTATTTTGTTGGTTATTCAGAGCGATCTAGGGGTTACAAGTTTTATGATCCCAAATTAAAGATAATATTTGAGACGGGAACTGCAATGTTCTTTGAGGATATTGAATTTGGGGGGAGAAATCAGGTTAAAGACTTTGTCTTTAAGAAGGAATTAGACCATACTACTCTTGTTGAAGAGGAATTGGTTCCTATTCCTATAATTGCTTTTGATAATGATCAGGATTTCACTTCTGTCATTGATCAAGTTGTTAATCCAGAACAAGACATTGTTAATCAAACCCTTGAGGAACAAATTCAACAACCTCAAGAACAAGCTCAAGAACAAGTGTTTTTGCGTCGATCCACTAGGGAAAGGAGAAATACTATTTCAGATGATTATATTGTATTTCTTCAGGAACATGAGGAAAATAATAGTATGATGGAAGATGATCCTATCAACTTTCGTCAAGCTATACAAAGTTCCAATTCAGAAAAATGGATTGAAGCAATGAATGAGGAGTATAAGTCTATGCAAGACAATAAAGTTTGGGAACTTGTCCCATTGCCAGAAGGAAAGAAACCCATAGGATGCAA